CGAACAAAATTATATGAATATTTTGGAACTTCCTATTGATTGTTCTCACAATGAAATACTTTATTTTTCAGATGGAAACCACGCTCCAGACACAGCTTAAACATTCTTTAACCGAATTTTACGTGACAGATACGTTACTTGGTACAACCTGGGATAAAGTACAAATTGAGGTAACATAATTAGTTTTCAAGATATTAATATATAGCATTTTCTTTTCTCTTAGCCGTTGAAGAAAATAATATAATATATACATATGAAAGTTAGTTTTGAATTTCTTCTCAGAAAACATCGGACAAAGAATTTTTATATTGTTTTATATCTTCAACTTATGCATCGGTCTATTTTTATGTATGTAAAACTTAGAGAAAAAGGAAATGACGTACTTGCATTTACCATGGTGTGTATAATAGCTTGACGTTCGAAAACATTGGGACCAGAGTTGTTAGTCAAAATTCTTGAGCAACCATTTTTTCGTGCACACAGACTTCGTTTGTCACTGTTACCACTGTTTAATCGTAAGAAACTACGAAAGTTGTTTGACCTTTTGGTCTACTCCTACTCTATGTATGTTTGTAACGGAAGACGGACAAAACCCCACCAGTTAAAATCCCACCACTCAAAATTTTATAGAGTGAACAAAACCCCACCACTAAATTTTATATGTAACACATGCTTAGATGGCCATAGGTGATAAATTATTCATGTTTGTCTGAATGAAACGAAAGAAACGGCAGGAATATCTATATATTATATATAAAACGTAATAAATCTGATAAACAATTATACAAGTGAATGATGTGATATGGTTATCACATTGTTTTATTGACATTTTTTTCTGATAACCAAATGCATCTTAACTAATTCAGCTTGAGTGTTGCGGTGCTACAGGACCTGATGATTATAAAACTAGCCGCTGGAAAAATGAAACAAGACCGGAAGTAAGTTTTTATTTTATTTTGGAATACATTTGATTCTTTCCTGACCTAGGAAACCGCAATCTTATGTACACTTAATATATGTAAAATTGCTTTATGTTTGACTGTATTTTAATTGATTAATATTAGGATCAATGTTTTTATCAACTTTCATTTACAAATATATTAAAAAGCGCATTATTTCAAAAGGAAACTTATCTTGCTTGCATCATCTTCCGTCATGTTATGAGGTCTTTTAAATTATAACCCTATCCTTTGTGGACACATGGCAAAAAGATCATTTCCACCTTTTTTGATTTGGTGTTAAGTCACATCGACACTATGCAGATAATAAGGCGATTTTCATAGATCAAAAGCTGAAACCTGGTAGAACGTTAGATCGCATGAAACATTCCCAACATGAAATATTTCAAAATGGCTGGTAGGAAAAAACCAACAGCGATGAGGGCAAACTGGTTGGAAGTCAGCGATCTTAACCACTCGGCCAAAGAACCCCCGCCAGTAGATCTTGTCAACATATTGCAAATAAGACGAATTTTGTTGAATTTATTGTGACTTGAGTACGCAAATGCCAATATACTAATTGCTATGGTGACTTTGTCTATTTATAATTTGTTTATTTAGACAGATTATCCGGACACTTGCTGTGTATTAGTATCAAAGGATGCCGACGTACCAGAACCTTCAAATAAACTTCTATGTCACTTTGGGACTGCAGGATTCTATTATGAAACAGTAAAAAGCTTCAAATTTTCCAAAAAAAAAAAAAAAATAGTGCTCCAGTGATGATAAATATCACAATTTCCTCCAATACAAAGACAAGTCTTATTTCCAGTCAGACCAGCATTTTTACTATTTGCTGTTAATTATACTTTGACATTCAAATGTTTTACAATGTACGACTCAAAATTCGAGATTAGATAAATAACGTTAATATAATTTTGGGCGTTTTTGAAAAGATAACATTTTTGTTTTCATTTTTCGTAATGTTTTACCATCTCTTTCAGGGCTGCTATGAAAGAATGCTTGGCTGGTTTAAAGACAATAGTGTTTATATAATAGGAGCTTCGGGCGCTATTATACTTATAGAGGTAAAACAACAAGATCAACAACAATAAAACATCAATAAAATAATAATAAATTCATCATTCATCATTCATTCATTATCATTACCATCCTTATAATCATTAACGACAGAAGCGAAATAGTATGATTTAAGATACGTGATTTCATTTGTCTAATATGTAGTACTGATTAAAATATTTCAACATTTGAAACTATGAATTTTCGAAATAAGCACTTTTATTGATGGTCATGACTATTGTAAATGTTACATACTAAGACATAGGGTAAGAACCATAAAGTAAACAATAAGAATAGTTGCAATTGCAAATAGTCGTATGTCTGTTTGACATACGAACTGATCAAATCATTACAATTTTACCGTCATTTATACAGTAAAGAAAAAGAATTGAGCCACCTCATTTCATTCGATACCATTTACTTCAGCGTCTTACTTTATCAGAAACTTTGGCAGCATGATTTTTTTTTGCCATAATGTAATATATATGTTTAATTGGCTGTTGTACAAGACAATTGCATTTGTTTTGGTCCTTTCCAAAATACTCCACTAACGAAATAGAATAATGTAAATCAACAAGGTGTTCCGAAACTACACCATTTAATATATGATGTGGTAGACTTTGTCATTATTTTTTCTTAAAATTAACGGTCAACAGGGCACATTTGATATAAGAAAATATTAATAAAAGTAAAATGAAATATATGATAATTTCTTCACAGTCTCTTTGTAAATATAAAATAAACATGTTTGACTTCACACAAAGTAGATATGTCATGTTTAAAATTCTACAAACTTTAGGTGGTCACAATATCAGTGTTTAATGGCATCGAAAAACTGATCAACTTTATAAAGTTGACTTGTAACAGGGAACGCAGCTTTCCATACATAGTTTTTAATTCTTTATTCAAACGAGAGATATTCAGTAAGAATTTCATAGATTTCAATAAATTTCTTGATTAAAATATTTTCCTCAAGGATAAGCATAGTACATGTATATCTTTAACGTTTATGAATATACGTTTTTTTTTCTTTTCTAGATAGTTGGTTTCATCTCAGCATTTGTTATTTGCAAACAAGGAGTCAAGAGGAAAGCCAGAGAAGCTAAACAACAAACAAACAACAATTGCTGATTGAACATTACAAACAATGGAACAAGGTGTTCAAATTCTCACAAAGGAAATATCCCCAGCTGGTTCTAGGACAACAGTATGACAGGCGTGTAATATTGTGCTAAATGTACTTGAAACATAGGGACTGTGTTATTTTATATTTTTAATAATCATTTTATTAAGAATAAGTAAGAGTTTGTATAAAAATGGTTTACATTGTTAAAAGCATAGATCTTTTTTATCTTTTAAATTAGAACTATTACGGTATGTAACAAAGTTGTATATATCTAAAAAACCAGAACAAGATCCATCTGCAAAACAGTATTCTAACATGGTAACAGTGTAAATATTACTTCCTAAAGTAAAACTAAGGCGTAGATATACTATTCCATGCTGACAAAGAAACGTTGACCATTGATGTAATGTAGCGTCATGTAGCATCAGCTCTGAAGTCACCAAACAAAATGACGTCACGTTAACTATTCTGTGAAAAGATGTTAAATACAGCTTCATAAATTGCCTTTCCACAGAAAATCCTTTCACACGCACACGGAACAAAAGATATATCGAATGTTATACAATGGTAGTGCCTGGTTTATCTTTCAGATGTTTTATAATTTATAACTCCAACTTAATACATCCATATCTGAAGTAGAACCACAGTTTTATAAACGTTAGCAGAATGTAACTTGTCGACATGTTTTAACACATAAAACTGTAAGTATCAGCATTATAAGAACCATTGCCCAATATGTCTGAAAATCGAAAATGATTTAGATTGGTGTATAATTTATAAAAAGAACACAACGTTGGTTGAGATTAAATATTGTTCTTTTTAATATATGAACATGAAGTGGAGCGGATGTTACAAATACAATAATTCATATATAGTTGACAACAAAACGGACATTAAAAGGCTATTAAATTAGCATTGAATGTAAGGCAAAACTAGATCAGCTAACAACAAAAAAGATTTGACAAAGCCGGAAAACAGTTTTAAAGAACTAATTTAAAAGTTAGGATATTCGCTTCTGCCCTGACAAAATACTACATAGTAACACATCCACGAGTAAGAAAAGAAGAAAAGAAAAATCTTGATACTAAAAAAAAAGAAACGAAAAAAAAAACAAAACAAACAAACACAAAAAAGTAGAGGAAAAAAAAAACAACACATTCTCTGAAAAAAAAGTTATTATAATTGAAATGAATCATCTATTAAGACGATGTAGGAAAGAAAATAGCAATAGGATAGAATAAAAATCATTTTACAAAAGACGTAAAAAACAATCTAAAAATCCATGTATAAAAAGAAAAAAAAAACACACAAATTAAAACAACCCACATAAAATCCAAATAAAGAAAAATAAACAAAATGACAATACACAAGCAATTAATATAATCACAAACTATCACATTTTGCATTAATGAGTGGAATATAAAAATCTGGAAACAAAGTGATCCCTCGGAAGTATTAATAACAACAAAATTGCATGGTAATTGCAGACTCAGTTTGATTGAGTCTGTACATGAGGGATAATGAATAAGCGCAACATCCCCCACGCCCTAGCACCGGCTTGAGTGGTATTCAATTCTATTCGAAAAACTTAAAAGTGCTGGCATCAATGATCCCGAAGGACCTGAAAAATATCGCTGAGTTAATTACACTGAAAAATCCAGGTCTTCTGCCTTTAGAATTAATGTACATGTGCTATAAACATATATTGTATGTTTAATGCAATAAAATCATTTGAGTTGAGTTGAGTATTAAAATACTTGTAAGTTAAACATCACGTGTTCTGAAAGATCAGAATGGTGTTATCAAGTTATCACATAAGAAAGGGAACATCTAAACTAATACTCTTCATTTTTAAATGACAAATGTAGTACATGCTCCCTCCTTCTTCCGTTAAAACAAAATAACAAAACGTAAAAAATCTATACTTAATATCAACATATCCAAAGCAATATAAATTGTGATATAAAAATGTTACCACGAACAATACAATACAATATATATATCATGCATAATTGATTTCTTCTTACAAGCAATATGTCAACTACATAATGTAAATTTAGTTCGGTATCTTCTTGTAATGTTTTATTTGTTTGTTTGTTTGTTTCATTTTACGCCTTTTCCCAACAGTATTTCAGTCATATAGGCGGGTAGTTTCCTAATCATCGTTCCTTGAGAGTTACACCAGTACTAGACTACCTTCCTCCGTGCTAAACTACCAAAGTATCTCCCGGGGATCGAACCCACACCAGAGAGGGAACTGGATTAGAAGGCATCGACTCTAATCCCTTGACCACGGAGGCGGTCATTTCTTGTAATGTAAAACGGTACTAGCAAAATATTCAAATCCTCCTCTGCAATAGGAACCTACTTTGAAATATTACAAATACAAACTCTTTTGTAAATATATGATGTATAGTGGTATTACTGGGAATACATTAAGGGATTCAAACGTTTAATATAATAACACAAATGGTATGAATTTTGTACGAAACAAAACCTGCACTATGTACTGTAATAAACAGTTAGAATGAAAGCATAATAGAGATGTATAAGAATTTATATTGTTCTTTTACTGTTGGCTTTACAAAGTACGATTCTAAACAAGTACATCAAATGGATCATTCTTACCTGGTTCCAGCTATTTCTTTATCAGATTAAAGCTTAACATTCGCACTATGGACGCTAGTGAAAAAGTAACTTGAAATGCAACATTAGGTCGGAAATTACAATACTAAACTGACAAATAAATTTTTTTTAGTTGAATACAACTAAACAAACTTCAAAATTCTGTTTTGCTGTCATATGAAAATAGAGAATAATTTTACTGCATAAATTATTCAAGCCTACATGTGGTATTTATCACATACGGTTCGATAAGCTTATTAGAAAATTTGACTAAGACTTGCATATTTATATAATACGATTAATATTGAAAACGAATTTCCTGAATATTCATTTTATGTCACGATTATATTTTATTTGAGTACAAGTATCTAGTTTCAATCTTTTAATGATACACTGTGATCTCATACACAATAAGGAGAATATCATAGATAATTTATGGCGGTAATTGATGCAACATACCTTTAAATAAATGAAATTAAACCGTAGTTATTGTCAAGCAAAGATTTAAAATAAGATTAGCCATTGACACATAACGTATGTTAGTATATCAGACAATTACGCACAGTACATCACATGTAATGTAATATGAAAAAGTAAATTGATTTCAGATATGAATAGGATTTTCATAAATATTATAATAATATATTAAATTCGAATGCCAACACCAGTTCATTATAAATACAACTCATTCAGTTGTAAGGCCAGTAAGAGAAATTTCCTTATAATAAAACTTTCATACTCTATTACAAAATCCGATTAATGGCACATTTAACTTCAGAAATGAATATGAGTTTGCCTTTGTAGAATCTGTGTTTGATAATATTAAAAAAAAAAATTATAGCATGTTAGAGATAGATGCTCTTATCATGCTAAAAAATAGCAAACCGTAAAAAGTGGTAGTTTGTATTCCATACAGAATACAAATAATACAATAAAATCATACATTTAAAAGAAGCAAAAGAAGATTCAACTACATGTACAATATTGAGCGAGCAAAAAAAAATCACAATTCTAGTTTATGTTCATATGTCACAAAGGTTTATTTATCAACTGTTCATTCTTATTGGAACAGTATGATATATTCTGGGTACGCTTGAGTATCGTTATAAATCACAAACTCTGATGGATTAACACTGTCGTCACAGGTCGAGTTGTATCTAAAAAAGATATTAAAGATTGGTTGACAAATTTACTAAAAGAAGAAATATACTCCCAAGTCATGTGACTATAATCTTTAAATAGGACAAAGAAAAATGTGACTGAAATATAAAATATTTACTAGGAACAGTAAATACTGAGCCGTATTAATCGAATAGATATGGACTAAAATTATTACTATAATTTGAATTATTAAAATGCAATGCGGTAACTTTGTTTCCCGTTGTTTACAGAAAGCAATTTAATCTTAGCGTCAAACATATTCCCTGTTTATCTTTGTGTCAAACATTTTTGAAATTGATATAAAACAGTTTATTTATAAGAAAATGAGCACAAGGAGCCAGTCATCATTAACAAATGTTTACCTATCGATGTTCGAGCCAGGAACCAGTGGTGCATAACGTTCTTGATACCCCTGCTGCACAGCTGTTGTCAACCCTGTAAGGACCTTGACCTGATACACCCTCTTTAAGCCGTTTTTGTCAGGAGGTGAGTAAAACTGTGCAGTGGAATAGCTCGATCTTACAGCAAAGTATACACCCATGCCATACCACACATTTTCTGCAATTTGAAAAAATAATCATATTTAGGATCAAGTAGACAAAAACTTGTTATCCCTGGCGACAAAATTAACATAACAAAGTGATTAAATAATCGTACAACTTAATAAAAGAACTTAACGTTTTATACAGCAGGTGACATACACGGTCAAATATACCTCAATCGAATTCTTTTCGGCATTTCCTTGTATATCTATATTAAGAATGAACTATTTTTACAAAGATGAATAATAGACTGAAGTGCCGTTGCCTGCTACTTGATATTGTTTATATGCAGCATTTTCTGTCTCATGTTAACGAAATAAATAAACTTACGGAAAGTGAGACCAGCATAACTTCTATTGAAGCCGTTGAAGGTAATTGACTTTTCTTTATCCTCTTGAGTACCATGCCAAAGAGTACTTTCAATCTGTAGCCCGGGGTTGTTTACATGTTCCGTCTCCAACTGCTCCTTTTTGGTCTGATATTGCTGGTATAATGTGCGATTCTGAATTCTTCGTATCTATATATATAGAGGACTAAAATATAGTATATTGCACACATATTTCTTTTATACAAAAGGAGCACAAATAAATGCTTCCAACAAAACTATTGAAATAAGACATCAGGTGCCCCTCCATATATAATTTTAATCTTTTGTAGGTTTCACTTCACCAACCCACGTTTCTCTAGAGACACCGACCCTCTGTATGCTGGATAGCTATTCCAAAGTTTCTAGCGGATTTAAAACCCGAAGCAAACGATTCGGCTTACAAGACCTAAGCTTGATGGCTTGTGTGACTTAAGAAAAGGTGGTAGCATGATATATGTTTACAAGTTTGACATGGTGTAGGTTTACTAAAATAAAAGAGGAGAAAAGCTCATAAAAAGTGATACTTCAATTACTAAACAATGTCATAAAAAAGTCAACATCAACTGGTATGTGTGTAATGGGTTAGGACATTTGTCAAAAAAGTACTTATGATAACATACAAAGGAGGGTGGCGGTCTATTGGTTAAGGTGTCTGCAATTTAATGGGCTTTAACCCTTTTTTGATCACGACCACGTTTTCTAAACGACTCTTATTATAATTAGATCAAATAATGTTAGTTGAAAGAATTTGTATCGCTTTCAGCGTAAAAAGATATACAAATTAGAAAAGTCAAAACAGTCAACCTCCTTTATAATCGTAACGTTGTATCCATCGAGTGTTTGTCTAAAGTTAGCTTCAACATCCTTGTACTCTTGGTCAGTAGGTTTTAGTGTGCACTCTTTCAGGTTTTCAGAATCTGCCATCCCTTGCCATGTTAATGGTAATGCCTTTATAGTGCCTAAAACATTTAATTAACGAATATAGTCTTAAGTAGATATACCGACCTAAAGATCACTATAATCACGCAGTTTGTATATTTGAAAGACATATAAACCAATCTTGTTTATGGTTGTGACTACGATTGATATCAAGTCATGATTCGTGATTCTTTCAGAAAAGCATCATAATGAGCCGTGTCATGACAAAACCAACATAATAGGTTTGCGACAAGCATGGATCCATACCAGCCTGCGCATCCGCGCAGTCTGATAAGGATCATGCTGTTCGCTTACCAACCCTATTACAAGTAGAGAAACTGATAGCGAACAGTATGGATCCTGATCAGACTGCGCGGATGCGCAGGCTGGTCTGGATCCATGCTGGTCGCAAACCCATTATGTTGGTTTTGTCGTGAAACGGCTCATATTTTGACGATTATAAAAGGACTCCACTGTAACATGACGAGACTGGAAATATTTTTTCGGTAATTGTACACCACTTAATGTAGATCTGGATAAATGATTTAAGAATCATTCCCTCGCCACATTTTCCAAAAATAATCACATTTATTGTGCAAAATGACCAAGCAATTTTCACTCAAATCGGGTTACGAATCGAGCAAACAATCAATATCTAATTTAAGTATGTGCCAATACAAAGAAACTTATATTTAGAAAAGAAAGAGAAACATTGTTTTAAATATAATCTTACCTTCTGTCAAATCTTTTCTAATTACTTTAATAGTAGTTGCTTTGTCTTTTTTCTCTTTCACATATTCTTCCATCTGTGTAAAATCAACTTCATACATCTTTTCATTGACATCGCGAAAATCCTTCTTCGTAGCTACAATATGAATTAATTAGAATTTATTGCTTGTCAATGCGTAAAAACGTTGAATATACATTGTGCTTCGTTGAGCCATGCTATTTTTGTGGTCACAAGTGTATGTACACATTTTGAAAATGATATTCCTTTTAAAGCAACGCAAAAAAGTTGATAAATGAAAATCATAGACTAAGGTTCACTGAGTATGATCATGACAATGAAAATAACCTCTCATGCTTACCCACTATCACCTATCACCGGCTTAAGAAGAAATTAATTTTCAACACAAACTGTACTAGGTAACATATTTAAAACAATATTTTAAAAAAGTAAATAGCATACGTTTTGGTCATAAAACACTCATATGCTATCTTGTGAGAATTCGGAAAATAAACTACAAACCGTTTGTTAGAAAAGCATCTTCAAGAAGATACTTGATGTGTCCAGCATAGGGAACCCATATTTTTCCATTGTCTTCTGTGTAGTACCATTCAATTGACTGCATGCATTCAGATATAATTCAATTATACTTGGTAATTATACATTATATATATTTATATATATTTGTTGAGTAATTCAACATTCAGCACATCTCGGAGTGTTTCTTAACGATAGTTTTTTTTTTGGAAATGGTTTCCAGCATAATGTACATAATATAATAAAGTATTTTTAACGATTTCTCTGTTTGTTATTATGATTCCTACACAAAAAAATTGAAAATTAATTAAATACGTCATTCATATTTAAATTAATTTTTAAGGATTCGATTTAGAATATAACTAATCAAGCTTTACCTGGTAAACTATTTTTCCAATGTTGATTGATGTAACCTCCTTTCTTCTATTATGTAAGTACTGAAGAATTCTTTCGTAACATTTAATGACACCACCACCCATACCTCTTAGATTAATTTTTCTGGCGCCTGTGTCAACTACAACTTTGACATGATAGTCCTCACCCATTTCTTCTATATTTTTCTGAAGAAAAAAAATTTGCAATGGTTATGAACATCTGTCAATGCATATTTTAAGGGTTTTCAGTGTCAAAGTGTCTTATTGGTTTTGCCTAAATAGTTACATTGAAATGATTACGCAAATACATTTCTGACTCCGTTTGCTTTCTCCAACTAAGTCTAGACAAAATAGTTATACATATATGTTATTGTGCACAAACACCATTTTGTTGTTTACATGTTCAGACTTATCATTGATCATGAAGATAGCTATTCAAAGAGATGAAAATCGGTTGCATACATGTGGTACAGAAGTAAATTCCTGATACATAGGTAGACTTTTATAATCATAATGTTATAAATATTTACCTTATGCTTTGCTTTGTCTGCAATCACAAGCTCCAGATCATCATAGTGGCCATCCTTTTTCAATTCTATAGTTTTATGCCTGGTTTCCTTGGTTACTTGAGCTTTTATACTACGAAAAGCAACATCCACATTTTTGGAATCGTCAGAGATAAATTGTATGAGAACGAAGTCCCTCCTTTTTGATGGTATAACGATATCTTCATTCATCTTTAACTTTGGTTTAACATCATCTTCGTCAGCATCGTCGTTTGCAAATCTTACACCTATAATATAAGAGCTAAAGTTACGTTTTTTTTGTGATAAAACAAATAAAAACACCCCAAAAGAAAAGAAACATATCCTTTTCTCCGCTCCTAAGACAAAAGCGCCCCCAAATTCGCCCTTAAGATAACACGCTCCTCCCAACAACAAAAATATAGAAGAAACTTTATACCACATATTTCATGCAATCTTTCTTTGATTGAAAAGCATGTCGACTTTATTTTGTAACATACAAGAAAAATATACACACACTTACATCAATTAAACAAAAGTACCACAATTAAAGCATGTCTACAAAACAATTTTAATTTTTAGCAACAACAAGAAACATATAATCTTCCATAGGATTTTCCTTACGAAGTTAACATACTGAAAGAATTGAACCCATCACCGAGAACAAAACAACAAAAATTATTTCACCTTTGGGTTTTGGAATTGCTCCGCCTTTCATGAAGACTTGCAGCTCGTCTACAAATGTCTTAAAAAGCAAAACATGTAGCTTTAATATCGTATTATAAAGAAGAAATATATGAAGGGAGTTTTGACTGAATATTGTCATAATTATATGGAAAAAACAATCAGTAATATAACATCTACGAGACTTTTGTCTAAATGGGTTGAAAAGGATGTTTAACATTATTGTATTGCTCCTAAGTCCATGCAACTGCAGAAGCAATGGAAGGTTCAATAAAAGCAAGGAAAGTGACATGAGCTAGTATAAGTAGAAGTTTACTTTTAAACATGCTTCATTTGTTACTCGTGATTATCAAACAAATGGAATAATCCTAAATATCTGGAAACAAAGCGATCCCTCTCGGAAGCATTAATCACAACAAAATTACATGAAAATTGCAGACTCGGTTTGATTCAGTCTGTTCATAAGGGATAATGAATAAATGCAACATTCCTCACGCCCCCCTAGCACCGACTTTAGCGGTATTCAATTCTCAACAATTAATAGTGCTGGCATCAATGATCCCGGTGGACCAGAGAAATATAACAACAAAAATATAACATCACTGAAGTGAAGAACGGGTCAACTTATTGACATATGTTTAATAGTACGTTATTCGTATATCTATATGATTGAGAATTATCTTTGGATGATGCCTTGCTTACTATATTTCTTTTAAATAAGAAGATTGAAGCTTGATTGCATAAATACAGAAATTGATAAAGTAAATATTTATGAAATAAACTGTTCAATTTTAACCCAGGTTTTCAATTCAGATAAGCTTACTTTATTGATGTCTTTTGTGGCTGGGTACAATACTAGGTTGATGTGGCATTTCACTTTAGTGTTGGCTGTGCCGAAATCATGAACAGCTCTGAAATTTAATGTTAAAAAAAACAAAATCAGTCATCATTTAACATTCGGATGTCAAAACTTCGAATGGTTTAATGAATGTCCAATAAAGTTCGTGGAAAAAAAGTGACAATATCCATGAATTAATGGTTGGGCATAACACTAATTACTTTTACAAACAATTGTTAGACCGTATAATCATGGCATTTTTGAGCTGTTAGTGTTATAATGAAATATAACATTTTTTTTTTTACATAATACATACTTAAACAATATTTCTGAGCTGGACATGCCTCTAACAGTGATCAATTTAACTTGAAAACCATCCTGTTATATGTCTTCAAATAATTACCTGTAAATACCACGTGCTACTTTTCTCGGATTGTATCCTGCCCCACCTGATCCTATAGAAGGAACCGCAATAGATGTCAATCCACTCTGTTTCATTTTCTGAAGACAGTCGTCTAAACAGTTGCTTATTGTCTGAAAATAAACAATATAATAAATATATTTATAAACAAAAACAACAAAAATAATAGTATCAAAAGTAAATGTATCTATAATACATTTATAAATAAAATATTGATTTTGTTGAGAAATATTGAAGAAATAAAATGCATATTTTCATTTCCGTATTTTCGCTGTATTTTTTATTGTACTATAGGGAAACATATTTTCCGTATTTTCGCTGGGATCTTGCCGGACTACTTTCTTTTTAATTCAGCAAACAAAATTTACGGTATGTATAAGAGAAAAGTTATATAATAAACATATATTTTTTCTATATACGAACTTTATTATATCTTGCGGATCATTTATATCAGATATGAATTATTAATGGCATACCACTCAAGGAAAATAAATCCCGTATTCATAGGGAAAAAAAACTGAGATGTCGTTTAATCATTACAAAATTCAAATTATAATTGTAATCGTCAGTGTATAAAATCATGAATGACACAATATAAATGAAATATTATATTTTAATGTGTAAATTTCACCCCGAACATTAGAACACATGACTCATTTTAATTTAAAGAAATAATCTTTCATCATAAAATACAATAAAAAGAAAATATAAAAGCCATTTTCATAATTGGTTTATCCATGGTTTCCGTTTTCTTTGTATAACTTTACAAATACACATTGCACATTGGGCATGACAAAAGAGTTTTTAAAGCATAAATTTAAAACAAAGACTGGTTTTCAAGTACACGGCGGATACTGCAATGATAAATTGAAGCCGAAAGCAAGTATCCATAACAATATGTACACTTACTTTCCTTTTTATTGAAAACATTTTTTTTTAATCTTGAAAAAGAAAAGGAAAAAGGAATTAAGGGAATTGCATTACTTTCGCTATCCTTACAAATATGATATTTTGCTAATTGTAATGACTTTCGACTTATTTATATACCTTTATCACTAATGATTCTCATATAAAATATGAATAACAAAATCAACTTGGAAGCGCAGCATTCAATGACCGCATCCCCCCAACACTTTACCACCGGCAAGGAGCCCAGCAGAACACACAAAAGGACCGGGCATATGGAAAAAACCGACGGGATGTCATTATAAAACAGAAATACAAAAAAATCATAGAAATATATTCATGGTAATTAAAGATGACAAAAAGATAATGATGAAGAGGAAGGCTGCCAGAAGGACGAGAAAGGGGTAAGGAAAGAATAAATTAAAAAAACTCTATAAAAGTCTAGCGTTAAATGACGACAAGGAGACATGTCAAATACCTGTTCTCCAGTAGCGTCTTTCCATGTTGGCATGTAATAGTGATACACTTTAGAACAGTCAAGGTCATAACCCTTTGTCTCAACAATCATACCGGCGCTCACATTTCCTTTAAAGCTTTCACATTCCTTCTTTAGTTCAGGACCGGCTCGTTTGCAAAGTGAATTAGGAATGATACCATTGAGATTCGGGAAGCTAGTAGTTGTATCTAATATGACATCGGCCTAGAAAATATTGATCAAATATAAGATCATCACAGAGGAAAGTGACCCTTTTAATTACCAGCCTGGAAAATCTTGATCCAATAAAACATCGTCAAGAAAATATTGCTATATTATAACATAAGCTTAGAAAACATCGATCTAATACATGTATAATAACATCGTTCAGAAAATAATGATTTAATGTAATATCAGCCAGGAAAATATTGAACTTATAAAGCATCAGCCTGGATAACACTGATAATAAGTGGTTCAAATTAATATTTTCGGTATTTATGCAAATGGTATTCAACCAGTAATTATGAAAATTCTGAAAAAATGAAATAATGAAAATCAATTACCATGAAATATGTTAATTTTTAAGATTTGATCATGTTACCTAAAACATATCAATCATCAGAAGAGAAACGAAAAAGCAGTACATTCATTGATACCATCCATGTATACAAACAATTTATAACATGCTTTTCGGTGATTATAGAAATATATCAGTGATATAAAACTGGTAATTTCACTGTTTTAAATTTAAGCCCCTTACGTTGTTTCAGTGAAATACCAGGGTGCACAGTACTGGGTACCAACTTAATAACGTGACGTCGTAAATGACGACACGTTGTATTATTATTTGGCGCGCTTTTCATTCAGTATTACGTTTAATGTCTTTTAAAAACGTTTCTTTGCATATAATTAAAAGAAAATTTGTTTAGTTATGTGTAACATCGAAATATATTTCACCTTGTGAACATTTTACTCATGGCTGCGCCACTCGTGAAATATACATTTTGGTGCTCACTCGGTGAAATATATTCTGATCTTACACTGAACTAAACAATATCCTCTATTTAATTTACACAAAATTATTGAACAGACATAACTTTGACTATGTGAGAATTGTAAGCAAATACGTATTTAACCTAAACAAATGATATTTAGAAATCAATGGAAAAATATCAGGCTTTAACTTTTTTTAACATAACGCAAAAAACATCATCCATGAGAATGCTATTAATGGTTTGTTTTCGCTGAATAGATCTAACCTTTGCAAGTTCAAGGTTCCCGTATGTTATTTCAAGAGAGGTAGAAGTGTTTGGTACTTTCCACAAATCTTCTCCAGCTGAAAATAGTTTATCTACATTGAAATGATTAATTTTAATCGATTCGTGAAAACAAACATTAAAAGCTAACAAATCTAATCACTTCGGCAAATTGAAAAAATATGCTTGTTAATGTTCTCTTTATTATAAATAAACTGTAAATTATAAAAAAGGTTGTAAACCTAACTACATAATAAACCTTTTTCGTTTGCATGTTAGTGGCTTAAACTGAAGAATCTGACGTATAAACATGCTGATAAGAATTTCACAGCATCAAAAATAGTTCTCCAAGCTTTTACTTCATAACACGTTTTCAGATTCCAATAGATGACAATGTGATGAAAGCAATTTTCTGAATAACTGTATATATTTCTTAAAATAATAAATTTAATAAATAAGTACCATTTTGAACTTGGACATGGACTTGCTTTGATTCAGCAGCCTGGGAAGAAGGGGCTTTGATGTGTGTAAAGAAGTTTGCTGCTTCTTGTGAGAATACCTAAAAGTTATTATGGAAAATAACACAATTTTATTTGTAAATTTGTAATTAATTATATCATTATTATGAACTGAACATAAGTTATAAATATATGAAAAAAATACATTAAGTAAGTGCTAGAAACCATTTATGATATTAATGATTATTATGTTATAACTTCTATAACTTTTCACAAATATTGACTGAATTGTTTAACTTTTCACAAATATTGACTGAATTGTTTAATTTTTCACAAATATTGACTGAATTGTTTAACTTTTCACAAATACTGACTGAATTGTTTAACTTTTCAGAAATATTGACTGAATTGTTTAACTTTTCAGAAATATTGACTGAATTGTTTAACTTTTCACAAATTATATTGACTGAATGTAATATATCAAAACTGATATTTTTGTGCTTATAAAGTTCACGTTCCCTCTAAAGTTAAAATAAGCTGTAAATAAATGCAAGTTACCTGACATGTCTGTTGGGCTGGACCATACATTACTATAACTATTATTTTCAGATATGATCTCTTTTGTTTGAAGAAATCTTTAATCGCTTTAAACATCTGATCTGCTGAGACTTGATCAGGGTATTTAAACCCTCCAGTTCCAAATGTAGGCATAGCAATAGATGATAGTTTCTCTTTCTCTGCTTGTTCAAGACACTTACTTACACCCTCATATACCAACTGTTGATTGATGAACATTTACAATAAATGTACAAACTGTCGATTGATAAACACTGACCATAAATGTACTAACTGTAGATGGATAAATATTTACGATAAATGTTCTAATTCTCGATTTATAAACATTGACAATAAATGTTCTTACAGTCAAGTGATAAACATTTACAATAACTGTATTACCTGTCGATTGATAAACATTTAAATAAATGTACAAACTGTCGATTGATAAACATTGACCATAAATGTACTAACTGTAGATGGATAAACATTTACGATAACTGTTCTAATTCTCGATTGATAAACATTGACAATAAATGATCTTACAGTCAAGTGATAAACATTAACAATAAATGTACTAACTGTCGATTGATAAACATTTACAATAAATGTACAAACTGTCGATTGATAAACATTGACAAGAAATATTTGTCTTACTAGCAAATACCTTTGCATTGGCCGGAACATAGTCCTTGAGAACAACATAAAATACTTTCTTGCAATTAAGATTGCCAGGTTTTGTTACTGCAACGCCATTGTTTGGATAACTTTTATAGCATCTTTTACACTCTTTTTCTATATCAGGACCTCCTGCTTTGGAAATTGCACCTGCTATAGCGCCATTCAGGTTGGGAAAAGATGAACTTGTACATACTAAAGCATCAGCCTGTAAATGTTTATAATAACAAGTAATATTATCTAGAAAAACGAAAAAATTTTCAAATGTTCACAATATAGCTGTATTCTGAATAATGAAGAAACTCTGAGAGTACTAAAAGTAAATAGAATAAGTAAACACTAAAACACTCTTTGATTGAATTTGCTCATGTACAACTTTAAATGGTTCAAAGGAGACACTAAGTTACATTCTAAATGCAGAGCTAAATTCATATACATTGAAAACTATTACAAATTCATGCCTTTGTATTTTCGATACCCCCAACTTCCAAGTCAACAATGACCCCGCCACTACCATCAATGGCATACGAGCCTTCATTTTGTTTGTTCGCTGCTTTTCTTCTATGGACAGCTGATCCTGGTCTCTTCGGGGGCGCTTTTGTTGCTGTCGTTGCTGTTGCGCCTATTAAGAAGAACAATTTGACAAAGCTAAGCAAGCACTATTGTGCTACTCTTTTGTATCAGGAGGTAATCTATTTTATATTTATCTACTGTGACTAATAGTTGTAAAAACTCATGATAACAAGACCCTTTATGAAACCTTTCGTATCCAAAAATGAAACAGCGTAAAAAAACGTAAAAAAACTTTTAATAAATGATGTTCAGTTTGTGTATATTATAGTGTATAAAGGTACATGTATACATTGTATCTGATGATATATTCTATAAAATAAAAGAAGTGTCAAATTAATTTGTTTTCATAACCTTGCGGTAATATCTTAAACAATTGTCTTAATTCTAAAATGTTCTACGTAAAAGATCCCAATCAATATATAATCCTGCTATTTTAACAGGTTTGGAGATGATTTAACTCATGCCAAAATTTCTTTTTTTGAATGTTTTTGCAATCATATAAATCACAATATGAAATATAATTTTCATAATCCTTAGTAGCAAATCTATATCTTAATTTTCTTTCATGTGAAAGCCTTTTACCTTAAAAAATAAACAAACTAAAACGAGATTTTCACTTTATAAAGCTTTGAAATTCGAACAGAATTCCTATTTTGGTTTTAAGTCTTTTAGTAGTTGTAATCACATGACATAAAATGCATTTATTTCTCACCACATTAACATGTTCATGCAAAAATGGCTAAGCAATCTAGGCAGTTCATGTTAATTTCAGTACTTTACATATTCCATTTTACGCCCAATTATTTACATTTTAATATGCTAAGCAAACAGAGAATACATGAATTACGGTTTGACACTTGTTAAAAAACCTAATGCAACTGAAAATGTCTCTAAACGGAGGGGTAATGGAGATCTTACCATTTTTTATTGTTTGTGTACCATCTTTTGCGTTTAGCTTTTCCTCTATATCAGCCAATAGTCTGTGAGGCCTTTGATTGTACAACTTCTCCAATGTTACCTCAAATGCCTTATTTAAATACCATATATTATTGTTTTAATTTTACTTAAAAAGAAAAACCAAGTTATAGCTACTCTTGTAAAAATGTAATTTATGATTTCTTACTTAAAGACAAACGTAAACAATAGTTTTTAACTTTGTCATATTTATAAAAAAAATCGTAGCTAATAAATTAAATATTCTTTTATTTTTCGATTTGCTATAAAGTTTGTCTAAAGAAAATACTTAATCATATGTGGTAACCATGTTAGTTATATCTTATATATGAGATATCAAACAATTGTTTGATGAGAATGAATGCCATACCGATGTGTTTATAATATCTTTTTCATAGATAACCACTAAAACCTCTCTGAGGGAACATGTGAGATGGCTTTGCATGAATTCACCGATTGTTCTTATAAATGTCACCGCTACTTCATCACCAGGATATTGACAATCTGCTGTCCCTATTGTTGGAAATGCTATAGAACTTCTTTTTTGTCGAACTGCTTCATTAAGACAAGTTATTATGTAACCAGCTAAAGACTGAAATATAAAATATCCGTTTAGAAAAGTAATTTGATAAACATCCAATGATTTTAATGTAATGTAAAAATCTGTAAACATTACGAAAAAAAAAATACTAGCTGGAGACTAAGACGTAAAATGTAAAATGTACGAGTAAAATGCCTATTGGTTTGTAATAAAATTTTAGTGTTTTATGAATTCATTTATTGTGTTATTTTTAAGTTAAGGAATGCACTTTAATTAAAATTTAAATGATACTAACATCCAGAAATCAGTGATATTGAAACTATTGGTCACAAGGAAGAAATATTTTCATAACAGTGCTTCAGTATCTCCTTTCCATATACTCATTTGATAAAAATACATATTTAATAGAAAGCAAAGAGGTTTTGAACTTTTATTATTCGTTAAAGTGTTCTAAATTTAACAGGAGAAAAATGAAAAATCTTACACTGCATCCGGTTTTTTTGTCCCAAACTTTCTCGATTTTGATATGATATATTTCATTGCAGGGTATCCGTCCTGAGTCAGTCCTCACAAGTGTTCCATTTTCTACATTTCCATCTGCATTTATTTTCCTAAATTCCCTCGAGCATTGATTTTCCATGTCAAAACTTGCTCCTGCTGCATATTTCAAGCTGTCACTTACTTTTCCCGATGGCCTTGGCGCTGTTGAAGTGGCGTTTACCAATACCTCAGCCTTTTTCGAATTAGATTTAGTAAATAAACTAACATTTGGTACAGTTTTTTTATTGTCAACGAAAAAAGTTTAAAAATAAAAGAACAATATCCGATTTCTCATTTTCATTTAATTTTTGTCAACATAAGTTTAAAACTAACACCATTGGGTAATCAGATATATAATACCTCATTAATAAAACAATGTGCGTTTACTTTAACCTAGCTATGCTAGATAAACGGTTATAAAAGAAATACTGGAAAAGATTACTCACCGTTGTTGTGTGTAGCTCTCCCCAACTTATCTTAAATTTGGAACCACCAGGAAGAGGTAATGTTCTTGAACCCGATCGAGCGAGGTTAAACTTCTTGGATAGAGCAAAATTTGTCATCGTTCCTGAAGAATTAATTAATTTGATTTCCTTAACCAACCACAATGTATATAAATCGTAGATCTAAGCAATATTATATTTTTCCCTTTAATCCCTCATATTTTGCCCTCCATTCAGTTGTAACTATTAAGTTATCCTCAGTTTTTTAAGTGTCTGATTGATTTAATCTATATGCGTTCCCTGTCACGCCTTATTTGCCATTTCACTTAACTACTCCCATTTTTTAATCGTGTTTCTTTTCATGAATTTCTTACAAACATATGGATGGTGTAAATGAAATACCTTTGCCGACACCTACATTGCTTACTGGAAGATGAAAACAGTTGTCGCCGAATATTCCTTGCATTTGTTTCTGAATCGTTCTAACAACATCTGGATTTGGGTCGTAGAAGAATATCTCACGCACATTTTTATTACTTTTTAACTTATCATGCATCGTCTGTAACATTATCTGCAAAGATCAATTACTATTTGGAAAAAAAAAGAGTTAACTTTAAAATGAGACAGATTTAAATGAAGGTTTGACTGGATACATTAATTGAAGTTTTGTCGATTTGATTTTTTATTTACTTTTCTTGAAAATATGTAAGAAAACAATGCAATAAACAAGGTCTGCGTTTATGAGTTCTTGATCTAGAGAGAAAATAGCCTGGATATAGATGAATTCATTTTCAGGACTTAATAAATCCCCATGTACATAAATAGTGTATATAAAGTAAACATTTTCGTGTAATGTACAATTCTTGAATAATATTTATCTAAATACAAATCTTAGCATTTCCGTGACGGTTCGAGGAAAAACAATTGGCTGCAAGATTATATCAGAACTTGTTAATAACTGAGATGTTGTTAGCGTTAAACCTTACAACTTGAAAATAACTGACTCTTAGATAAGGATCAATGTGGATCACAAAAGCATAATATCAATTTTAGTAGGTTCGTAATAACCGTAAAGAAGGTGTATTAGTGAGAGTCCTTCAAAGGCAACGAAATAACAAACATTCAAGCCTATTATAATTATGAGTATAACCATTGGCTGAAATGTTGTAACTATACAAATCCGTTGAACATGCTTTACAAAATGTGTACGTATATAATCAACTTGCTTGTTACTTATGACTTGTTAGTATATTAAATCATACTTACGTTTGCTGCAACAGGACGAGGAAACCCGTAGATGCCACCACTTATCAAAGGCAATGCCACGGAGCGAAGTATGAACTCTTTATCTTGATTCATCGCTTTAAGAATATTCTCAACAACTGTTCCAAGGACTACATCCTCATCGTGATTTCCACCTTCCCACTTTGGACCAACAGCATGGATGATTCTTTGGCAAGGAAGTCGACCAGCCGTTCCGACATAAATTTCACCTGGCTCAAGTTCGCCATTCATTTTGATGTAATCGGTACATTCATCCTGAATAGATTTTCCTCCTTAAAAGTACATTAAAAAAGAAAAAAAGATAAGCCTTTAGAACGTTCAAACGGCAAGATTCAGTCAACTGAGTTTAACAAATAGTTGAGATTGCTGACACATTTTATTTTCAAGAATAAAAAATTGGCATGCGATTTAATTGTGTTGATTCAATTGCGATTGTTACCAAATATTTTGCTTAACCCTCGATTGCACAATTTCATGAAAAATGATTATTGCGTTTATAAAACGTTTAAACACTGTAGCTATGGAAGATGCTTACCATGTTTAACAACTTCTGCAGCTAGCCCACCTTTGTGATTTAATTGAGGATTGGCAGCATTTACAATGACGTCAACAGGAAGATTAGGATCAGTTAATGATCCTGTCCCTACAAAAAGAGCTTGACCAGAGTCAAGATGAACAATGCAATGCACGTCTTCATTCTTCATTTCATACTGGGTCGCAATTCTAAAATCGCATTTATGCTTTTCAATTTCATTCAATAAAAACCTTTCTCCGTCTCCGTCAGCAAAGTAATCGTGAATGCCCTCTTCTTCTATATGTTTCCACGAAGCATGGACCTTTTTTGCATCTTCTTGAACAAACTTTTTAATTTCCTTTCGAAGAGCAGCGTTCCCTTTCACCTTAAACGTCCTCTCTTCCGAGCTGCTTTCAAACACGTTTAATTGATGACCACTGTTTTTTATTTTATTACGAATTCGTTCTAGTGATTTCTTCTGTATAAACTTAACAATGTATGGTGAAACTTGAATTTCTTCGGTTGTAACGAGCAACGATTCTACTTTTTCTTTCAGATCATCACACACTGGGCCGTAAAAGTCTTTCCCGCAAACAATATGTATCTCTATCTTTTCTTTGGATATTTTAGAATCAAGTACAACATAAGGGCTGTATTGGTCTCCGATTCTTTTTAGTTCTGCTTTAATAAGTCTTTCGTTTTCCACTTTACCTTGAAATGTGACATCACTTTCAAAAATAAGCGTCATAATAGTGTCCTCAAAAAAGTTTAAATCTGACTGATCAAGAGAAAAAATGTGAAGCATGTTTTTCTCAATCAAATAGCCACATCTCTTTCCTTTGTCTTCTGTACTTGCTTCAATTTTATCACGCATTAAAGGAGTTGCCAAAATATCAGCTGCATCTTTTGAAGAAAATTTGGATGACTTCAACAAAATCTGATTTAAGATTTTCAAGATTTCTATCTCCGCTGCAGCTATCATTTCTTCTTCACCCTCTAGTTTGATAACCCCAGCTTCTGGTTTACAATCAGCAGTTACACCTTCAACCATTTCATTCAATTCAAGGTGCGAAAAGGCTGCTAGTTTAATCTTGTCAATGATCTTCATGTCTTTCTTTACCAGTGGTTTTGCGGGTTGAATAGCATCAATTTCGTTTACAATATTTGTTATGACCTTGTCGTCAATATGTCCAACAATAGTCAATCGATACTGCACAGCATCCTCATCGATAAGGATATTGACAGATGGAAACCTTACTAATATGTCCTGAACCTCTTTCCAAACGCCCTGAGAAAGAGTTTTCCTAACAACAAGTATATCCGTAAGAATGTCTTGTAGTTGCTTTTTTACTCTATTTTCCCATTCTTTGCCATGTTCCTTTCTTTTAGACTCATGCACGCATTCAAACTTTAACTTCACTTTGTTTCCATTTTTAGACCAAAGGACTTGAGCGCATGAAGCTTGAAAACGATGTTCAATTTCGTCTTTACAGAATTCCTTCATAAACTTCATTTTCATGTGGTCAATATTTTCGATTGTAACCGGTTCTACTTCAATATCATCTGAAACAAGTGGCAGCATAGGGACTATTTCTTCGTAATATGGTTCTAAAACAAGTACATTCCCTCCTCTAAATTTTTTGAATCTTGGACACATTTGACATGCGCGTTTAACATCTGAAACAGCAATGTGACAAGATAATTCAATGATATATCTTTTTTTGATAAGGTAAGTCAAGCGTCTGATTTATATAAACGTTTATTTATTCATTTCATATAAATATAGTCAATAAATTAGTTCAGTATTTGTAATTTATCAAACTTAATAGATGATTAAATGCCTATTAAAACATGTTGAGTATTAGAATAATAGATTGTAACCGATTAATTGGAATAGAAAAATACCATCAGCTGTTTTCATGTGCAGTACGCAGACTCCGTCTTTTGGTTTGAAATACTGATCTTGAAGGTCAATTTCGTACTCAAAGTGTACCATATTTTCATTCGTAAAGAACATGTATACATCCTTCTTCTTCGCACTGGGAGGTAAGTTAGACACTTTTACCATATGTGTCTCAGGTACCACGTAAATCTTTATGATCTCCCAAAATGAGTTGCTTTTCCACTGATTGCGTAAGAAATTCACATCTAAAGCCAAATGAATGTTTAGTTGATTAGTGTATATTCATTTCTCCCAGTTAATTTCTTATAAATTTGATACACTTAATAAAGGATATTCGGTTTAGCTGCTTATATGTTTTACTTTCTTTAAGCGGTTTTATCAGACAAGATTAATCATCATTCAAGCAATGTACACCTTGATATCTTTCTATTTGTAATTTATGGTTTAAGTAATTTATGGCATAATATAAAAATGTTAATATCACACATTCAAACCTTTATCGCTATCAAACTGTAAAAGAGCTATTTTCTTGTGAGTACCAAACTTAATGATAGGTTCTTCTTTGGAATTGGCTTTGATAAACGTTTTAAGCTTTTTCTCCGTCACTTGTGTTCCTTTCTCATCCCATTCCACAATAATAAACTTCCCCTTACTGGTCTCTACAATAAAGGAAATAACAAAACTTTATGCTCTATTGTTACATTATGCCCATCTGCGGGTAAATGTAGTGAACATATATATAAGTCAAAATAAAGTTAACTTTTACCATAATTCCTTTCAATTTTATAATTCTCTTCGCATGAACTATTAATAAACAAGTGGTTCAAGTTAGTTCTATTAATATACATCGGGAGCTGTAACATTTAATTTATGGCATCGTCACGGCATGTACATTCCGTATATACTACATTTAATACATGTAAACTTTAAAAAGCCTCGGTTACCGAGGATGAATGTATGGCTGTCTTTTAATATTGTGGGCAGATTAAACATTTTCCAGTATTAACTATAACTAGTCAATCACTACAATAACAGTCAGTCTTTTGAAATATATAGTTAATTCAGCTCAACTTAACAATGACAAAATATGCATAATGTCGCTCTAAAATATTTCTTTTGTCAAAAGAAAACATTTTTGTCCACTAAATTGACTGTACGTATTGTCAGTATGAATTTACATGTATTTCAAACATAGCATTGACATTTACTTTTATAAAAATACTGTAACTGATAAAAATAACTGTAAAATTTATATTTACTTACCAGCCATATTGACTATTATTTATTTTCTCCCTGTTTAAATCCAGCATTTACATTTTTACACCACAAAATATAACATTGATCTGACTTGTTCAGCAACGCACTTTTTCAATGTTTAAGACAAGGAAGTTAATATTTTAAAGATCTGGTTTTGAATGGAGATCAATATTTTATACTTTAACGAGACACTTAAAATGTGCTTTAAATTAGGTTCTACACTACATAAATTGAAGTTTAACAAACAAATCAATGTAGATAAAACAGCTGGTTTATAAATAATTTCAGCAAAACAACTGTAGATATTTGTCAGTCATTATCATTACAGAACGGAATTTAAAGAGAGCGCGAGTCTTTGTTCCTTTTATTGATTTTTCTGAAAATCTAACAAATAACGAAACAATTATATCATTTGTAAACAAAAAAGAGCTTAATCAAGCAACTGGCAATTAATTACAATTACAATGACATTGCCAATTTTCAGTTAGTAAACGGGCTAAAGATATCGCTTTTAAAAAGCGTTATGCCTCTTATAAATTATTTAAATCGAGTTGTATTCATAGATACATATATACATACATATTCATACATTTCTTAAAGTATTACTGTAAGTTTTTCTTAAGTTTGATTATTACTCGTCCAGAGCGCTGGCTTTAATTGAACGATTAAATTTTTGCACAGTCGCATGTAATACTTTTTAAATACATTTCAACTTGATTAAAAATAACTCTTAGAACAAAAGCTAAAAAAAGTAAAAATTATAGAAAAAGACGATATGTAACGACTGTGGATTTCGCATTGTGTATATTTATTTCTATCTGCTACAAACACTGAATTTTACAGAAATAACAGAACTTTGTTTCTTCAAATAACGTTTCAAATTTTTATAAATATAAAACCGAAAGTATCAAGAGTGTAATTTGTTTTTTATAAAAGATCAAAAGGCAATCATGCATTAAGTTATATTGTCAATTGGCGTCTACTTTTTATTCAGTCAATAGATATTCTTTATTGATATGCGTTCAAGCCATTCATGTGCAGTATAATACTATGCGACTATAATTCGTTTTTAGATGTTAAAAAAAACTTTTTGATAGTAACGGGCTTCAATTCGTACAAGTACGTCTTATACTATTAGTTACGCAATTATCTCCCATGCAATATTCTTTATGCATAGGTATGTATTATTTTACAAAATTAAATTGGCCGCGCGACCAATTTAATTTTGTAAACAGGTATTAATAAACTTTAACCAGCTTAGTGTATAAACAGTCGATTTACTAGACTGATTAACAGTTTGCCGATTTACTAAAGTAAATGTGTTACGATTCATTTGAAATACTGCACGAGATAGCTTAGTCGTAGCCACGAGATTCTGTGTCGTGGCCACGAGTTACTAAGTCGTGGGAACGAGATAGCTAAGTCGTGACCACAAGTTAAATAACCAATCAGATTACACCATTTATATGAATTTCCCTACTTAACTAGACATGTGCTTTAGTACAAGGATGCCCCTACTTCACCAGCCTTGACATAGTATCCCGTGGCCACGACTTAGCTATCTCGTAGCCACGACTTAGTAACTCGTGGCAACGACATGGTATCTCGTGGCCACGAGATAAATTAAAACACACACATGTCACCTTTGTGCCACCGTATAATCCACTCAACTCACGGACATTCTTTTTTTATATCAATACCGTTCGGATTGTGTTGATAGCGTTCAATGTTTAAAAACAACGGTAGTGTCTTTTTATGATTGCGATAGTTTTTATATTTCATTCAAACTTTTTTTCATTATCAAGTATTGGCCAACCTTACGATAAAATTCAATAAAAAATCAATATTTCAGCCGAACTTGACAGTAAAAAAATAGGATAATGTCACTTTAAAGGCCCAATAATCCCCCACGAAGTAGTAATTTTGTACTCGATGGTCATAAAGGGGAATCATCTTTAGTTTATTTTGCCTTTTGATAATTATAACAATTAAAGTGCAGCATACTACTTTGTTTACACTTTGATACCTTAAACAAATCATTTCATTCTCAGCACTACTTCCCTCCGACGTTGAAAATCTAATATGCTTTAAATTCATATCCAAACACATTACAAAACACATATCTGCCCCAAACCCCTTTAAACAAGAAAATCAATCTTTTCCAAGGCAAAATGTGCTTATACATGTATACATATATGATTAACTGTTTCAGAAAATATTTTTTTCATTTTTGAACAATCTCCATACAAACAGTTGCTTTGTATTAATATTTTGTTATAAAAAATATTCTTAAGGGTTTAATCTGGAAAGGGCTTAATCTGATTTTGTAAGAACTTGTTGCCCAACCCATTTGCATTTTGATATATACTCATTATTTGTATTATATGTTTGTAAACATGTAATTAATGCAATAAAATATGTTTAAACTAAATAAAAAAATCAATATGAAGTGACAACAATGCAATATTATATGCTTTTATTACATCACACAATGAAATATATATATAATTATAAAAAAAAGATTTGAGCATCAATTTTTCATGAAGTATTTATACATTATTATTAATGCATCAGTGGAAGAGAAAATAAATAACAATAACACAAAAGAACATAAAGTTTTAATACACAAACTTGACCTGTAAATCTGCTGTAGCCGACATTTAGCAGCCTGATAAAGAGTCTTAACTGTTTGTAGCAATGTATTTTTAAAATTCGAATATCTTTATGCTTTGTTTGTTTGTTTGTTTGTTTCATTTTACGCCTTTTTCCAACAGTATTTCAGTCATATAGGCGGGTAGTTTCCTAATCATCGTTCCTGGAGAGTTACACCAGTACTAGACTACCTTCCTCCGCGCTAAACTACCAAAGCATCTCCCGGGCATCGAACCCACGCCAGAGAGGTAACTGGATTAGAAGTCATCGACTCTAACCCCTCGACCACGGAGGCGGTATCGAATATCTTTATGCACATTTTAAGTAGCGAAAATGCATTTTATCCTGCTACTGTCAATATCATCAGCTGGATAAAGCCTTGCCGGATAAACTTATCTATCTCCAGTCATTACGTCATATATGATGGCGTCAACTGTTTAGCAGCAAAACAAAACTATTTTATTGGGGAAAAGTAAGAATAAAACCATTTAATTATTCTAAAATCATTATTAATAGCAGGATAAATCAAATACATGGTTGATGTCGGGATGAAGACGGTTTATCCGGTTCCTTGCGAAAGTGAATCTTGGCTCGCTAAAGCTCGCCAAGATACACTTTCTCGCTCACCGGATAAACCTTTTCCATCCCGACATCAACCATGTATTCTCTATACACTAGGACACCATGTTGATTAAGGTTTAGAACAGATATTATCAAACTGAGTCAACAGATTTCATATACTTTAATTGTTCCCATTTCTTCCGAAAATGTTCTCTTTTCCCGAATGTTTAATACCGGGATAATTGCTTTTAACCAATTATGCATTCACAATTTGTAGCATCGCTTCCATCTATTAAAGTTACTAATTAATTGTCATCTTTCATAATCTGTAAGCAAGATGTTTATGCAACAAAGATTTGTTTGTTACAAAAACTTTTTAATTATTATAAAATAGGTTGTGCAAATTATTTTTTCTTTTTTCATTTTAATAGCAATATAATAAAAGTTTGTATAGACACATAAACCCAAGTGGCGTAGCGTTAGAGCATTTAGATATGGAAATAATGTTTCCAGTTTAATTCTGCACTTTCTCACATATTTTGAATGATTTTTACTTCCCCAGCATTTTTATAGTTGTCACGCAATTGTTTCAGTTTCTTTTAAAAATGTATATAATCATGACATTTTTAGTATACTGATGTGTGTGTGTGTGTGGTGGGGGGGACGATACGGTGAAACCAGTATTGCGATATATTGCGGTACAGACAATCCAATTTGCCATACACTGATTATGATAATAAAAGCAATAGAAAACAAAATCGACTTTTATCTTTATTTTAGAAATTATAAAAGCCCCCATCCCCCACCCACCCATCCCCCCAAAAAATCTATGAAAAGCCTTAAAATAATGAAGAGATTTAAATCTTGCATTCGTCAAACTATAAATCAATCAATCAATCAATCAATCAATCAATCAATCAGATAATGTGACATTAAGGTTTTTCCCTGATGCCTGATGACACTCGGGAACATCATTTGACGTCCAAAATGACAATCGCAAATTTTCGGCCCTTTCCGATAGTCTTCGGGTATGAATACACAGAGCGGATACGTATTTTGGTTTAACCTACTTATTTTAACAAATTGTAAATTAATGCTGGGGGTTCTGTCAAAATATATCGAGTAAAATTTTACCTAAAATTAGTGATCTCATAGATTCGAAAGCGAACAATACATTATTTATATATTTATTATTACGGTTGTAGAAACCGGAAGTACAAAAAGCAAACCTGTTGACAATAAGTCGGATTTGTTTTGAAATGTACATCAGTGGGCATTTTTGTTTTAATAAAAATGTTGTCAGACATATTTTCATTCATAATTGTACCGAAACATACTTTATTTTCATCTAGATGTCAAATTTATGCATTTGTTTTACATTACACTCTATGTTTCTGTTTACATCCGAGGGTATTATAGATAGTAGCCGAGGACGTTCCGTTTGCAAACAATGTAACGCTGCAAATTTTCCTGAATTCTTTCAGTGCGTTCATAGTTATTCAGCTTCTATACCTATATGTGTCAACTCGACCGCATTCTGTATTTCTTGGTAAAATTCAAAGCAATAAATTCTTAAACATATAAGAACAGAACAGAACCGAACAGACATTTTCTTAGACTTATACAGAAGTATAACATTTTAATACATAATCATCAATGATAAACATATATTAACAAACGTTTAATTCTATGCACTTTAACATACATATAAGTAAATTATGGTTACAAATTACTACACTATACAACTTAAACACACCGATCCAATGACCTAGTAAGTAAGTTAGTAAAAATATGAGATAAATAATGACCATCATGTCACATAATCCAAACAACTACAGCTACAAATATTTTATTGCATTAAAACGACATGTTCCATAGCATTAAGAACAATTCAATACATTATCACACAACTAGGAAATATATCAAAAGCAAAACTTACAAATATAGTTTTTACACAAACAAAGTAACAGAATATAGTTGGTTATTTACTTATAAAACTCCACTGAAGTAATCGTTAACTACTTTGTACAATCTTGTTAATTTATGGCATTGTTTAACTTTCCAGATAAATTTATTACTGTTCGCCCCGAAAACAAAAGCATTTTGTCACCTTATCTCATATATTCTGTCTAGTTTTTTTTTCGTTCAAGAAAAGCAACCATGGTCTTCAAATTATTATTCTAACACTCACGTGATTTTGTCACTATAGACAAAGAAGGAAAAAAAACTGGTGTTAAACTGCCAATAAACACCGGTTAGGGACTACTTGTATAATGCGCTGTTATGTTTTCACCCTCGATTGTATAGTTTACAAAGCATTTTAAAGCAACAATAAAAAGCATTTTTATTTATATTTTGAGTTCGTATAATGATTTCTTTTCATACAATACCGAAATTATATCTCACATACACTAACGCCACATATTAGATCCATATCAGTTAATAAATATTTTGAAAAACGGCGCCACATCGTAAGCAGTGTAATGACGTCATCCTAAGTAAACAACTCATTCATAAACAAGCTGACGTTATTTCATACATACAAGAATGATAATTTGGGCACTGATGTAAACACAATACGACGTAAGTTTTTATTGTTGAAAACTTGATAAAATAAAGTTTTTTTCTTATTATTTCTTTTGTTTGATAATTTCTATATCTTTGCAACAGTAGGGTGGGAAAATCGAACAGCGTTATAAGAAAATCGGCACCGGAAGTTATTTCCGCTTGAAAAATAACATTAGTGATTTTCCTTATTTTATCGTGTTAGAATCGAAATAACATCGGACTGAGAGGGGTATATCGGCCATTTAACACCGGTTTTGTCGTTTTGATGCGACAAAATTAACCACTCAGGCCTTCGTGGTCAATTCCTACGCATCAAAACTCCAAACCGGTGTTAAATAGCCGATATACACCTCTCAGGCCGATGTTATTTCTTAACTCAAATAGCAGATGCCCTATTAATCAATAAATAATAAATATGAGACCTTATATCAAAGTTTAGAAATAAGAATTATGTTCGTGAAAATTGAATTAATTAAAGATAAGAGGTTTGCTAAAAATTTCATTACAAACCATATAACAAAGCGGACAGCATGGATCCTGATCAGACTGCGCGGATGCGCAGGCTGGTCTAGATCCTTGCTGGTCGCAAACCCACTATGTTGGTTTTGTTGTGACGCGGCTCATATTCATTATCGGTATCTATATTCGGAGTGCGCATTATGGCGCATTATGGAGAAAATAGCTTTCAAGTTCATGTTGGCTCTAGGGTGATAAATTGCATCAATGTCAACGGTAATTGTATAAGGAACTTATATTATAAGATACAAAGATTCTTAACTTTAAAAGTGCATCAAATCACTTCTGAACATTTTTTAAAATAGTATCCCGATAGTTATTTCTAGCATGCCAGTGACTTTCATTTCTACAAATAGAAAATCGAAAAACCTGGAGAGCGGAAAGGTAGATTAGAGGTATTGTCCAACAATATTGACCTGGCACTTTTTCATTTGATTTTAGTCAGTACGATCTACTTGTAAATCGATCAATCGACATGAATGTATATAACCAGTTGTTAAATGGTTTAAATTAAGAATCTATCGTAAGAATAGACGTAATTTTGTTGGTTCGAATCTAGGGATTTTTATTTTAATTTTTAAATTATAATTCTCCAAACACCGCCGATATGGGCTATACGACTGCACTCCCAGTGAAAATTCGACTTGAAATTTATTTGTTTCTCATGAATATGCTACATTTGTCAGCCTGATACAAAACATATCGACTTAAAACGAACATATTCCATGCATGTGTAAACAGGAGCAAAGAGTCAATGTCCCTGAACTAAGTCCGCAAAAATATAAATGAACTGAATTGTACTGTTTTCAGGGACCTACAAACTCAACTTTTGTGTCACATTCAATTCCATTTCGAATTTTAAAGTCAATTCTGCTTTCTGCTTCCTGACAAAAGTCTCACCAGAACCTAAATTTTGTAGCAACACTCCAAGCTGTCGAGACAACAGTAGTTCCAACAGCAACAGCGTTTTCAAAAATAACCGATCCAAGTCCTGTCGCCACAACGGCTTCCGCCCCAGCAGCACCAGCTATATATCCAAGGCTCATAGCTCCCCCACCTAGCAACACACCTCCAACCAAAACTTTTGTCCATATTGTGTCGTCTAACTGATCCGCTAACCTTTGAACAATGTCTGATAGCTCATCGTGAACAGTGCCTTCTCCATGATAGTTTTTAGCATGATCTGTTATAACTGCTTTATGAGTGGCCAAATGCTGGTAGTCGTAGACTCTCTTTCCAGACTCAGACATTTTTTCAACCATATCTATAATATTTTGTCTTCCTATATTTGGGCTATAATAGTCGTGCGTATTCTCTACACTTACAACACGGTTTCCACAAAGCTTTACCAGCTTAGCAAACTCGTTGTTTTCAGACCAAAATCTCTTCAAATCACCGTCTGTCTTAAATACATCCCCATGGGTGAAAACGACAATAGCATGTTCAAAAATTTTTTCTCCAAAGATGACCCTCAACATATCTATAGTAAACTTTTCATCTGTGGTCATACGGTTTTTGGCACTAAATACAATCAAAAAAGCATGTGGATTTTTGCAAAGCTCGGCGGAATACAATATGTCAAGTGCTCTTTTACTAAGAGTTTTATCGTTGTCAAAAAGGCCTGGTGTATCTACTACCTTGTAACGTATTGTATATGAGGCATTCGGACTACTTTTCATTGAACAATTTTCCGTCACAGCATTTGAACTCGATTTCTGGACAAAAGCATCTTTGCAAAGTAAAGTATTTCCTGTCGAACTTTTCCCATTCCCAGTCTTACCGACCAAAGTTATCCGTCTTTCGCTGAGATATTCTGTTTGGGTTATCATCTGAAAATACATGTACATACACAATGTACGTTTCATATTAAGTGTTTAGGAAATCAACACAATTATTATATTAAGAATAAAATCTTTGGAGTGAAATTTGCAACATCATGATGTTTTACAAATAAATTCGTGTAGACAGTTTGTGAACATCTGAATATCAATATTTTCTTCAACAATGGACAATCGTTGATGGTCAAAAATGTTAATAGAAATATTTTAGTTTATTATACACTTATAAACAAAATATTGAGATATATTGATGAAATAAAATGCGTATTTTCATTTGTCCGTATCTTCGCTGTAAAAAAATATTTTTCACTGTAGTGAAACATAGTTTCCATATTTTCACTGATAACTTGCAGGACTACTTTCTTCTTAATTCAGCCAATACACAAGATTAAAGGAGAATTCTTAAGAACGGTTGGTCAAAAAGAGAAAATGTTTATAATAAACTGAAAATTCAAGTTCTTTTCTATACATACAGGATTTCTTTTCATCTTGTGGTATGAAAATTATCATTTTCACTACGCCACTCGTGTAATATTTATATCATATCTCTCGATGAAAATAAATACTGTATTTATAGAAAAACCTGAAAGCCTTTATCAATATACATGGACATTTTGATAATCTAAAAATGAAATAAGATACAATAATTTTATTTAGGTAAAACAATATCTTAATACTTAAATGTTGATAACCATGTTTCATAATTGAAAGGAAATTTTGGCAAAAGATATTTTGCTTCATACAAAAGTATCAAAATTTGCAGAAATGTAACGATTTAATTTGTATTGAAATGTGATGATCATCAGAAGTTAAGTTTCGTGTAAATAGCGAAGGATGAGAAGTTAAAGATGAAACAATTGAGATTTTTAAACGTTTCTTTTGTCTTGCTACGTGACGTTATGGATAAACGGAAATGTTGAAACGGCATGTTTCAGCTGTTTACGCTTAACAAAGTTTAAATGAGCCGCGTCACGACAAAACCAACATATTGGGTTTGCGACCAGCATAGATCCAGACCAGCCTGCGCTTCCGCGCAGTCTGATCAGGATCCACGCTGTTCGCTATCTGTTTCTCTACTTGTTATAGGGTTTGTAAGCGAACACCATGGATCCTGATCAGAATGCGCGGATGCGCAGGCTGGTCTGGATCCATGCTGGTCGCAAACCCATTATGTTGGTTTTGTCGTGACGCGGCTCATTTAAACTTTAGTTTAATGTAAAGTATATAGTATATATAGGTTATACACAGATTTTTAAGAAATTAATTTTCGAGTGAACGGAGTTAAGCGGGAACATAAGTGTCTTAAAACTCTGTAGATCTATAACCGACTTACAGTTTGCCCCACCCACCCATTCATATCGAGTGCATTATGTAAATAGGCAAAGTCCATTAAATCGGCTCATTTAACATGTAAATTTGTGTTACAACACTGTATGGTAAACCATCGTGTAGTATATATATTTCTGCAATTTTCTGATACAAAGTATACCAATAATTTGCTTAAATAAATATACAAAATTTCCAAATTACCAAGTGCACAATTTCTTTTGCAACTCAGTTATATCTAAACAAAGAGTATCTATAAATATGGCACTCACCTGCAGAAAACAGTTCTGTTTTTGAACTTTGAACTTTATAAAAATTGTAATGAATTATTTTCATACGAAAACTTCTACATTAATTATTACCTAAGGATCTTAGATTTTACACCTCTAGAGTTAGAATACATTTATAGTGTGTATATTTATACTATAATGATGATGTACTATGTACAGCATTTGCCCCTCATCGTTTTGGATTCAAATCCTGACACAGACTTAGAATTCTGTCATGTAAAGAAGCTATCCAACTAGCTTATGGAACGTCGATGGTTCTACTGAGGTGCCCGTCATTGCTAGAAATAATCAACGGAAGAACACATGAAATATTTCTCGATAGTCTCCATATGACCTATGCTGTGTCGGTTATAAGTACCTTAAAGCATTATAATGGATCATGAGATGTTCCATATCGTAACGTATCACACGTAGATTGGTTCCCTGCCGATAACATAATGTAAGGGGAAGGAACCCCTCTCGGCTAAATACTCGTAAAAGTGTTTATCTTAAACAGTGTAAAAAAGCATTTTCTTATATATTGTCTGAAACGCTGATTGTCGATTACCTTAGATCAACCATTCTTGTAATAGAATTACGTCACTTTTTTATTACCTAAACATTTACAAAAAAACAAACAAACAAAAAACAACAACAGTAAAAGCATTAGAATCTAAGCAAACGCAAATTATTTAAACTTTCCTACATGTTTAGACCAATGTCGTGTATAGCATTCTAGTGCCAATGATGCACTAACAAAGTTTGCACTCTTACCCTATGCTACGACCGGATGTAAACAATACGTTCGCACAGGGCATGTGCGGTGGTTAAATCCCACCCATTTTATTCGATTAAATTCTAGAACAACCACTACTTTCGGTTTCAATTTTGCTGACAAGGAACAGTTTGAATCAACGTAAGCGTTAATTTTAATTGCAATGTCCAAAACTTTGCACTACACGGCGTAATTTTCATTACATATCCGGTATTATCACCGTCATAGTATTTTTATTCCAGTCGGTCAAAATGACGGTACACATTTACATGTAAACAAACAGATTTAACTTCTTAGACAATTTAAATAAGGAATGGACACACGGTAAACTCTGCTGCAACGTAAAGTATATTCATAAACCTGTTTGAGAAAAATTGTCTCCGTGTTCAAATTAATTTCAAAAACGGAAAAAAGCAGTCTTTTACCGATACCCTGCAACAGAACCTTATTATTCTGACGAATTAAATTGACTTTATAACGCTCGTATACAATAATTGATTGATTGATTTTCATTATATTTATTTTGTAATACCTATCATTCAATATGCAATCAAACAAAACCAAGTTTTCCTACATTCAAGGAAACTGTAAGTAAGGACGAGCTTTCAAAACGAACAGGTAGCAATTTCCAACACGCTTACCGAAACTCCAACATGGCGGCTCAATCTGGCTCATTTGCATAATTTATTCATAAACGCAGGAGCTTAGAACTTTGTTAGTGTGATGTATTCCGACACTCTACATTATAGTGCAAGTCTGTAAAAATTTGTACTTGACATGAATTATACTAAAATTTGACTCACCTTTTTAAAGTTTAAAAGATTATCCGCTTTTTATATTTAAAGTTTCGGTTTGTTACTTCTCTATGTGCAGGCGTTGTAATTTTCAATGTGTGTATTTACATGCTTATTGATCTGTACATAATTCGCCCCGTGTCAAGCCAGCATGGTATATACATATGTACATTAAATACATTTATAAATATTTGGATTATGTAAACTCGGACGTTATATTTGGATTTGTTGATATTGTGTATTGAATAATTGTGTCCCTCTGTATTAAAGGTCATGTCAACCAAGATTTGTAATCTTACTTGAATAATTATAATTATTGTAGTTTAAATATTTTTTAAACTTGTTCTTACTACATATGCGTATTTTCTGTCCAGTATTTTCTTCTGTTTTTTTCTCGCATTTCTTCTAACCAGACTTATCCCGTAAACATAAAATAATTGTATTGTTTTCATTGACATTAAATTGGTCATCTAATGGTCAATTTCAATGAATTTATTCAATACCATGATTAAAATGAAATGAACAAACGACTCAAAATTCCGATATGAACTCTATGAAGCCAAAGTTACATGATACTTCCATTTTACACAGTCACATAATACTTCCACTTTACACAGCCACATGACATTCCCACTTAAAACAGTCACATGACACTCCCATTTTACACAGTTACATGACACTCCCACATAACACAGTCAAATGATACTCCCACTTTACAGTCACACGATATTCCCATTTTACACTGTAACATGATACTTCCACTTTACACAGTTACATGATACTTCCACATAATAAAATGGCACTCCCAATCTACACTGTCACATGCTACTTCATCTTTGCACAGTCACGTGACCCTCCCACTTTACACAGTCACATAATACTCCCACTTAACACAGTCGCACGATATTCCCACTTTACACTGCAACATGATACTTCCACTTTACACAGTTACATGATACTTCCACTTTACATAGTAAAATGCACTCCCAAACTACACAGTCACATGATACTTCCAATTTACACAGTTACATGATACTTTCACTCTACACAGTAAATGACACCCATACTTTACACAGTTACATGACGCTCCCACTTTACATAGTAAAATGCACTCCCAAACTACACAGTCACATAATACTTCAAATTTACACAGTCACACGATATTCCCACCTTACACAGTTACATGATAATTCCACTTTACACAGTCACATGACACTCCCACTTTACGCAGTCACACGATACTCCAACTTTACAATAATATTCCATCAATCAGAGAGCGATTAAGTCAAAAACACGAACCTCAATAAAAAAATGTTAATAAATTTATTGATCATTTGTGTGTGTGTGTGTGTGTGGGGGGGGGTTAAGTTGATTTGTTTCGCCGTTTAAACACAGCTCCCCAACAAGTTCTTATCAAACAAATGCAGATCTATCCTTTGACTGTGAGCTGCAAACAATATTGAGCCTGATCATAGTTATGCAGTTCTATTCTTATACCAAAAATCCATGTTGCCATAAGTGAGGCATCTTGACTCAACGGAAACGCTGCATCTAGTCGAGTGCATTGCGCTGACGAACATATTTGTATTGAGTAATGCGCGAATGGAACCTGTTCGCTAGTGGATTAATGTTATTGCCCTTGGTTGGTAAAAAGTTGCAGTTTTCAACTTGTGTCGCGCGTACCCCAAAATTATTTTGACTTAGAGTAATGATACATTACAGGAATGTTGGTAAGCAAGTTTTGTTAGACACCTTGGGGTTTGCTGGTCGATTTATTGATATTGACCTTGACGTAGTAAAAGATTTGCAATTTTCAACTTGTGTCCTACATAAAATTATTATTTGACCTACAGTTATCTAACTTTACAGGAATGTTTGTCAGCGTGTGTAGTTGTGCATCGTAGGTTTGTTTGTTTTTATTTTCTGTAAAGCATACTTTAGTATATGAAATTGATATTTGAAATTCTTAAAATATGGAAAAATCAAGATGCCAAAATTGGAAAGATTGGATGTCGTTTTTATGCCCCAACAACTTAGGGGTAGGGGAGTAATGTAAAATTTCCTTTGTCCTTCTGTAATACTGTCTTGCTGTACATCCGCAGACTGATATTGGTGTATGGGGGCCATCTGTGTCCAATGGACGCTTTTCTTGTTGTCAGTGTGAGGCGTGCTTAAATTGTGCCGAACATGCTGAAATTTACGATTCATGTATACAGTTAATTGATATTATACACATGTTTAACATCTCATAATATTAATTTTTGTAAATCATTTGGATATATATTTTCTTAGAATCGCTTCATTGGTTGTTTTGTTTTACATATATTCATCTAACTTTGGCTTCATGTATCATGTAACTTTGGCTTTATAGAGTTCATATCGGAATTTTGAGTCGTTTGTTCATTTCATTTTAATCATGGTATTGAATAAATTCATTGAAATTGACCATTAGATGACCAATTTAAAGGTATTTTTCCAGATAGCTTTTCATTTTCAATTGTTTCAGAGAACAAAATTCTAAATTACCTTAATAGGCTCAGTGCTAATAAGGCCACTGGGTTAGATGGTATCCCCAGTAGGTTCTTAAGGGACAGTGCAACAGTTATAGCATGTCCTTTGACTCATATAGTCAATCTCTCCATTATTCAGGGTTCTGTTCCCGATGATCTTAAGAATGCACGGGTTATCCCTCTTTATAAGAAAAGTTATAAAACTGAAGTCGGTAATTATCGGCCAGTGTCTATTTTGTGTGTTTTTTCGAAAATTTTTGAAAGGGCCATATATGATCAAATGGAAGGGTATTTGAGTAAGAACAAGATTTTATACAGTTTTCAGTCCGGTTTTAGACGCGGTTTTTCTACAGACACGTGTCTTATCCATTTATCTGATTTTGTAAAATTTCAAATGGATAAAGGTAACATGGTGGGAATGGTTCTCCTTGATTTGCAGAAAGCGTTTGACACGGTCAATCATAGTATTTTATTAATGAAACTGAATGCAATTGGCCTCAGTTCTGATGCTGTCCGATTGTTTCAATCTTATCTTTCAGATAGGCAACAGTTAGTTCAGGTATCTGGTGTTTATCCCAGCCAGGCTCCCGTCACTTGTGGGGTACCCCAAGGATCAATATTGGGCCCCTTCTATTTTTAATCTATGTTAATGATATGTCGGCTGTTGTCAGAAACAAACTTTTATTGTATGCCGACGACTCTGGGATTCTTGTGTGTGGTAAAAGTACTTCCGACATTGAATCTCTTTTATCACTTGAGATGGAGTATGTTAGTGAATGGCTTGTCGATAACAAGCTTTCACTTCATCTTGGCAAAACAAAATCTATTTTGTTTGGTTCAAAACCAAGGTTAAGGTCAAAAGGCAATTTAAATATTTCATGTAATGGTATAAATATCCAGGCTACCAGCTCAGTTAAATATCTCGGTGCAACTTTGGACCAGAACCTTTCCTGTGAAGAAATTGCAAGGTCAGTGGTTACGAAAGCAAATGCCCGGCTGAAATACTTGTATAGGAAAAGTCAATTCTTGGATCTCCACACTAGGAAACTCTTGGTCATGTCCTTAATTCAATGCCATTTTGATTATGTTTGTTCTTTTTGGTACCCAAGTTTGACTCAGTATTGGAAGAAAAGGCTCCAAACAACCCAGAATAAATTGGTTCGTTTTGTTTTGAATAAGGACAGCAGGTCACATGTTGGGCCAGAGCAATTTAAGGTTCTTAACTGGTTACCGGTCTCCAAAAGAGTTGATCAGAAAACTCTTTGCCATGTCCATAAAATAAAGTCTGACACAGCCCCAAAATACCTTAAGGAGCATTTTGTACCCCTTAATCAGGTCCATTACCGCTGTACCAGATCCAGAGTGTCTGCACTTTCAACATCAGATTCCTGTGTAAGCTATTCTTTTAGTGACACAGGACGATTTTCTTTACCAAAGGTTGGAAGCTTTGGTAGAAAATCTTTTGCTTTTAATGGTATTTCACTATGGAACGGCCTTCCTCAAAATCTTAGAGACATTCAATCTTCCCACACCTTCAAGCATGCCATCAAAGCCCATTTAATGGCCAGTGAATTCTAGTTTATTTTTCAATAGTATTTGAATCTTTTAATAGTCTTAATAGAGTCCCAGATTTTACTTATTTTTAAGTTTAAGCACAACACACATATGTTGTGTCCTTTAGTAATTTACCCATTTTTAGCTTGCACATTTAACGTTTTATAATTTTTTATTAAATTTTTACAGTTTGACTGACAATTTCTGTGATGCACTATTTCATGATTTATTGATGTGATACAAACTTGAACTGTGATTTTAATGTGATATAAACTTGGACTGTGATATATTGTGATCTCAACTAAATTATTGCAATTTATGTCTTATTAGTAAAAGAATTAATTTCAATTTCATACAAATTAACATGACTTTCTGTGTCATGCCTCCAATATCAGGGACCACAATGGAAATAAGAGGAATCCTTTCCTCTTTTTTGTGTTATCCCTGGTATTGGTGGGCACTACATGGCTCATATATTTATATTTTGTCGTATACTTATGTCATGTGATATTTCTAGTCTCTTTAATATTTTGATTATTGTTATATGTATTGTATCATTATGCATCATTATGTCATTGCCATGTCATGTACACTTTTACCGAATAAAATTATTATTATTATTTTATAGATGTACATTGTTTTCCCGACTACAAACGGGTTCTATAAAAGGCTACAAAAAGCAGGGACGAGATTTCTTATTTTATATGTTATACATGTTATGTCTAAATATAGCAATTTTCAACATGCACTTTGTACATATATATCTCTTACGGTGTGTTTACTTAGATAACTTAATCAGATGAATCGAAAATATTGGCTAACTTTGTAACAAACCTACCATCCTTTATCATATCTTTGAATATTAAGTTCAATAATTACCTTCTTTAGATTTGGACATAAAATCGTGGTCAATCATGTACCGCCGTCATGTATATTTTAATTCGTAGAATGTACTCGTAGTTATGCTTATGTGATAAGGAATGTATCTTATTGGGACTTCACTGCGGTTTTTGACATGATGGGTTTTGAAATATAATTATATGAGCCGCGTTATGACAAAACCAACATAATGGGTTTGCGACCAGCATGGATCCAGACCAGCCTGCGCATCTGCGCAGTCTGATCAGGATCCATGCAGTTCGCTTAGCAACTCTATTACAAGTGGCGAAACTGACAGCGAACAGCATGGATCCTGATCAGACTGCGCGGATGCGACCATGGTCGCAAACGCACTATGTTGGTTTTGTAATGACGCGGCTCATATATTCTTTTGAT